GTTGATAATTCCAATGATCCCTCGTTAGAATTATATCTTCCGGTCGAGTTGCTTAGCAGCCGTTGATAAGACTATAAATTACCTGGCATTAATGCACCGCTCGGAGACTATTATTACGATTACGGGAGCAACGACGGTTTTATTATTCCTGAAATAATAATGGGAATATCATCGGCTCGCTAACGAATATTAACGAAATCGCTTGGCAATTATCGTTAGGATAACGAACGGTGAGTAGTGCTGCGGCTTAGGTACTTCCTGATTATCCGATATCTGAGAACACGATGTTTAAATTTAATTGACATAATTACTGCTCGGATATGTCAACTTTTATTATTTAACCGCTACTCATTTATCTACCAAACGTCTGTTTATTGTCAACTCTTTTCCCGATCGCCAGCCCTATTCGTATTTCGTATAATGAGCGAATTTATCCCATCGCCGATGACAAATTATGAATTCCAAATATTTCTCAATCGTGAGAACTGCATAATATTCTTTTCCATAGAACCTGGATTCCATCAGCGTAGAAAATTCAATGAAAACGAGACGATAAGAACGATTAATACACCTATCGATTTAAAACCACCGCAATAAGGAAAACACGTTCGACGTGAATATAACAACCTATTCACTATACAAACTATTTAACAATTCCGTTACGTTGTTCCATTTCATACAATGTTTGCAAAGTTCCCCAGTAAAACATTACTATGAAAAGTGTCCAATACCTTTCAAATCCGTGGTCGACCGCGAGTAACCGACAAATCAGTAGTATTTTCATATCGCACGCTTCTACAACACAACTAATTACACTGAAACTCATAGAAATACGTAGACATTGAAATGAAGCTGAATATCAAGTCCGACTCGATGTAGGATTGCGGAGGGTTAAAGATTTTGCACGAGGAAGCCGTTTTACCTGCATCTAATCGGAGCAGGATGATCTAATGGTAGATCCTGGCAGATACGTAGGAGCCGGGGTTGCAAGATGGATCGTGTTACAAATTCCCTGGATCGCGGGCTCGAGGGAGGTCGCGCCGGGGACGGTTTAGTGGAGCACGGATCCACGACTAGAGAGAACGAGGTTGTGGGAAAGATAGCGCCTGGGTACCTAGTACCTAGCTACGTGAGATCGTCGGCCGTGTTTACGAGAGGATGCCTGTTTAGTGGGTCTCACGGGAGCACCCGGCGTTCCCCTTTATCATTCGGCCAGAACGAAGCGTGATTAACGCCGGCTTAGGGGGCGATTCGTTTCTTCTCGCTCGATCCTCACTGCGAGATCCGTCAAAACCTCGGGAGCCTAGGATGTTCGCTCGCGATATCTCGGCACGTTAATACGACGATCGTGTAACTTTTCCTCGGTCGGGAAGCGAGCCACCGCGCTCAGACACGTATCTCGGCGTTTCCTTCTCGCGTGGCGTTCGCGTTTCATGCGGAAACAGTAATTGGCTGAATCCGTCGAGTTAGATTGCCTGGAAAACGCGCATCCGAATGATTCGAAATTGGTACTAACGCGAGCGAACGTCTGTAGCTTTCGTTGTCTGCTTGATTGCGACCGCGCTATCTGATAGTGTTTTTATTAGATTGGAACTTAATTAAGCGAGTGTATTACTTCGCAACCGTGTAATTAGGGTGAACGGCTTATTCATCGAAGTGACTAAATTTAAGAGTCCGGGCGATTAAATGGTTAATCTAGTTGTTCTATCATTACCTTAGGGGTTAATTGCCACGACTCGCATGTGAAACGGTGTTCGAGCATTTTTATCACGTGCAAATTACCTCGAAGCACGTCCTTCATTCTAATCCGTGCTTCATTCTTTCTCTCGGAGCGTTCGCGTTAATTGTCTTAATATGTACTTTCGCTTGTAACTTGGAGTAATAATATCGATGACGATATTAACACCAGACAACCGAGCGTGTAACGTGATTAATTCTTTGAGCTATGAAGTCAACTCAGGCGTGACAAAACTAGTTTTTCCTAGAAATCTTAAAAATCGGTTAGATGGTAAGTTACATAAAACAACCGCATATTCTCAAGGCGAGCATAGTGACTGCTTGGCATGCTCTAATTGTAAAATAAAATGTGCAAGGCGAACGACAATATTTTAAGAATTGCAATACCTTTAAAAAAATAGAAACAATAATAAACTAAACATTTGAATTTTGATATTATAAATTCCGCCTGAACAATCCTTTGAAAACCTAAATTTCAAATACTGCAAGCACTTCATACCTAAAATGACACATCAAAACTAGAAAAATTGAAATCAAAGTCGTCACAGAACTAGAAAAATAATTATGTTACAAAGAGTTAACATGTAATCCTCATAAAAATCGTAACGATAGATTTTTCATATATCGATTACACCATCGAAGTGAAGCTATTTATTCGCCGAATCTCCAAATCCATATTGACGAGCACGGTGGCTCCAGCGTTCATTCATTCCGCGTCACTCGAGAGATTTCCGTTCGCGCAGGAAACCGAATTCCGTTTTAGCCCAGTTCCACCGGGAAAAGTTGGCGCGCATTTGCATAAACATCGCGGCGCGGGCGCGGGATCGCCTTTGATTCGGTTAACGCGAGCAGTTCATCCAATTAGATGAAGAGCCTATCGGGTTGATTTGTCGGGCGACCGACGCGTCGTAATATTAAGTCTGTCTTCCAATTAAAATGATCGTAATTGCGAGGTTCCCGCGGCGGCACGGTAGCTCGGCCAGGCCGAGAGCGAATCCCGCGCGGAACCGTTAGCCGCGAAATAAATTTTCCCCCTGCCGGAAAAACGGCGTCGCCGGTTAATTAAATCCCCCCGTGCGCGCGGGGCGCATTCCGCGGCGGAATGTTTTCACTCTGCCACGCACTCGTCTTATCGAGGAATTTCGCAAATAAATAATTGGATACTCTAATTAAAATGGGCCGGCTGCCTTGCGCGTCGGGCAACGGCTATTTATTGGGCGAGCCGATCCCCGGGAAAATTGATGGTGTTATTGGGCGGATAAGTTCGCCGCTCCGATAACGCGAGTTACGGTTAATTATTGGAACACGGGTACGAGGCTACCTCGGACAGCCCTTTCGCGATCTACACGATGCTGGCTGCTTCTAACGAGTGTTCTAAGGGTTGCTTTTGTTCACGTTGGATTTAGCGAATGAGCCAATTTGACTCGCATTGAATTTTATATAGATATCGTTTGATTTATTTGCATTTTATAAATATTATTTGAATTGCTTGAATTTTATAGATATTATTCGAATTACTTGAAGTTTATAAATATTATTGTAATTTATAAATATTATCTCGTAAATGTTCGAGACAATTTTGATTGATGGAGGTAGGTAAATGTGTATCCTGATCGACTACTTTTAAACCTTTAATTTTTAAAATTTTAACCCCTCGCTTTATAATACCCGATAGGTGGTATACCCGAAATGATTTGAAAAATAGTTTCACATCAATATTGTAACGAATATGTGAAGAAATAACGAAAGACTTATTGTCACAATTTTTATAAAGATCACAAGTTAATCGCATTAATTGCTCGGTAGTTATAGTGTTAATAATTGTAAGCAAATCAGTTTTACTCGATGTACTATAGAGACTTCGGTCTAGAAATTAGGTAATTTCTTATTAAATGTGAAAAGACAACTATGGGTCTTTGTAATTGACAATTGACGATTCGTTGTGAGTTTCCTTCTGGTGATCAATTATTTTTGTAGGAATACATAATTCTCCTCTATCAAGTGCTTCTAAATGAATGAAATATTGATAAATATCCGCAACTGATGCTGCAGTTATTATTTATTGAATATTTTCCGTACGTTTCGATTTGCATATCATTATATATATGTCTTCCTCGGGATGAAAATAGCCTGACTCATAAAAAAATTGTAAGCTTGAAACAGTAACATTTCGGAGCTCTGCGCACGGGAGATACGAGTTCCTTCCTTTTAATTTACAACGTCTGATATATCTGAGCTCGATTTGGACTCGTCAGAATGCAGCTCGAATCGTTCTGAAGCGGCGAGAACAAGCGTCGGATATGTTTGCAACGGATACCGGGCGAGGTTCAAAAGTGCCGACGAGTCTTTTCCTTTTTCGCAAGGATTTACCCGGCGCGGACAGGTTTTGGTACGGCGTGGATGAAATTTTTATCATTGAAGCGATAATGTTCGTTGAACTTCCGGCTGCTTGCGGATACTCACACTTAACACCTGAGGTACTATTGTATATTGCCATTACACGGTCATTTTATAAATAGCATTAAATAATTCACACACGACATTAACGAGACGTAATTTTATGGTATTATATAACTTTGCTACCTGTACCTTTAATATTGAATATCTCTTCTTAAATCGTATACAGTGCCACTGGAAAATCATTTTTAGTGACAGAAACTTTTTAAGTTTAAAGAACTACAAACTAAAAAGCGTTGATATTTGAATATTTTTTTCAAAATCATACTTCCCTTATTATAATCTCCTAAATCATGCAGTTATTAAATAAAAATAATGAATCAATGGATATAACCTATGTTAATATTATTAATTATTATGATGTAATTATATAACATGACATACGATATTAAATGTTAAAATTTTAACCTTTCGACTGTAAAGATTTAAAATACGTATTGTTCTTCGTGTAAACGAGTAATAGAGAAAATGGTAGTCCCAGAATAAATAAAAAGAAATACCCTTCCCAAAAACGACTCGGCATTTCGCAAGTTTGAGGTCGACGTCCTTATCCAGACCGAAACCCCTGAAATATGCAACATCCCCGTCGAGTGACTAATACTTGCCACGGCTGTCTTTTCAGTTATTCATTCACCCCTTCCCGTTTTCCAGCGGGATTGTCTGTCAGATTGTCTGTTCGCGATACTATTTCGGTGATCGAGTAAGTCGCGGGCGGATGATGCTTCGCGCGTTAGAAACGTTTTAACGACGGAATTAAGACGATAACGGGAACGTTTATTGGAAAATCGATTACTCGCTCGTTTCAGAATGGAGACGTTCCAGGAGGCCGGGGTTCAAATGCTGAAGGAATTCAGAGCGCTGCTGCAACATTCACCGTTGCCGCTTCCTGGGACGCGGCTACTTCAACTGCTGGCCCTGAATATGTTCGCCATCGAGTCGACGCAGCTCAAAGGTAAGTCGCATCTGAATTCCACCGAAACATGCGATTTCTACGAAATTCGGGATAAGTTCATTCATTGCTCCGATGTCTTGAATGTTTCTATAGACCCGCAAGACGTTCAAATTCGACATTCTCAGAATCGGTCGAAAGAGCTCTATAATAGAATTGTTATTATATTATTAACCCTTCGCAATAAATCTGGTATTTAATGTTTGTATAATGGCTCGATACGTAAAATATTAGAATAAATATCTCTCGATATACTTCTAATTTCCCATCGAGTTAGCTTCAAAGAACATCGTCTTTGTCTCGTTAAAATATGTTAAATATTTCTAGCGAGAAACTTCCGAGTGCAAAGGGTTAAGACAATTAGTTTCACCATTCTTGTTCCCTGTTATGTTATTCTCAAAGATACCGAAAGACTGAAAAAGGAATTCACAGATATTGAAGTCCGACAAATATTTCTTCACCTCAATAGTTCTTTCCACCAAAATTGATCAACTCATAGAACTTTCTCAAAAATCTCGTCCCGAGGCTCGTAGAAATTCTAGAACGCGTAAAATAAGTGCAGTCACAGTTTAGTAATTCTCGATGGGCAGAAAGCGTTGTGGTTAGATCCTTTTTTTCAGTGATCCGCGGAAAAATGGCGGCGATAAATCGATAAAAGACTCTCGCGTGCGTTTCGAGCGGGCGCGATAGGCCGCCGCGGTGGAAGGAGAAGAAGAAAGTTGTTACGACAACGTTGTAACCGGCACTTTAGATCGAATCTCTTTCACGGCCACGGCCGTCTCGTTATTTAATGTTACTACACGCCGGAGAGAGGCTCCGCTCTTTCTCTCTTCCTTTATCTCTTTCTTCGTTCGGCTTTATTGTTTCACGTCGGCGCTGGCAGCGCGAACGGCCGCAATAAATTAGAATAACGACTATGCCTGCTGCCAAAAGCCATTCGAATTCAATCCCGACGTATCGTCGCCACGGATCTTCGCGTTTTCTGACGCGGGAACGCAACCCGTTACAAACTACTTCTGTCGTGCCGCGGCCGTACGTCAAAGCTTCCGCTTTCGATGAGCCACGCCGGACACGGGTCGTCCGGTTTCTCGGTGTGCTACATACTGCTCGAATGCTCACAGTTATTTCGCTCATTACGTTACCCTTTCGGTAAGCATCGGCTTCCTAATGAATATTACTTTCCCAGCACCGACGCAAATTACTTAATTGAATAGCGTTCTTGTGGTTGCACGTTTATCTTACTGAACGTCGCCGAATTAGGTAGCATTGTTTATAGCATAGAAATCTTTTCAAATAACTGTCGGCCAATCGAGTGGATTATAGCAATTTCGTCGGGGTTCACCGGAGAAATCCATGGTATTCGACATGTTAATTACCATCGCTTTTTAGAACATTACTTTACATGCTCTGATTACTTTAATCACCTTCGATAAAATACGACTCGTCGATTTATCTTCGTTAAATCTTCCTTATTTCAGATAAAGTACGGTTGCTTCTGAAAAAAGAAACTTCGAGTGATTTGAAATGTTTCCGGATGATCCAATTAGAATACGTCGACATAAATTTTTCGGACACATTCTTGGTAGTCTCTAAATGGAAAGTTCATTTTCGGTTCTCGAGGAGTAAATACGTTAATTCCTTCAGGCCTGATTTTACAAAATTATATTTACATATCTCTGACAACGATAAATTATTCAATTCACCATCAGTAACGACGTTATTTCGAAGAAAATACTGGTACTAGACTATTTTTGTATAGAAATAGGCTCGAAGCGTATACGTATGGTCGCCTGTCACACTTTGAATACGTCGTCGGATGTTGAAGTAGTAAAACAGCGCGCATTATAATGTGCGCCAGGTCTGAAGGGGTTGAACGAAATTGTCCGAGTCTAGCGAACGTTTGCAGCGGAGATTCGCCGTCCGGCGAACTGTCGCGAGGCGTCACCTAAAACTTGTTCGATCAGCGGACGTCGACGGAGGGGAACAATCGTAAAACCGCCGTTTAATTTCGCGAATGCCGGCGTGGTTTTTCGAGACCGGTGAGTCTCAACGTAAAATGGAATTCAGAAGCAGGTGGGTGGCGCGTAAAAAGGAGTCACCGGAGAGGGCAGGCCAACGGCGAAAAACGTCGGCGTGTCCACCCCCGTCGATACGAATAGACGTTGCGCGGAATTCGTTCCCGGTATTGAGTCGTAAACGTGGCATTACCGTAGAAATTTACGGACGTGCCGCTTTCGACGCGTGTAAATAATACATCCAGCCGAAACGGCGGGCCGTTTTCACGCCCACGTATCCTCCTCCGAATTTTTTAACGATCGCAGATTCGAAAATCTGTCCGGCCGTAAATAACCGGTCGGAAATCAAGTACGATTCGAACGAGAGGTTCGGGACAGGCCCTCGAGGTCGATAAATAAATCTATAAATTCTCTGTTTGCATAAACGTAAACCCGTCGGCCGATAATGTAACGTTTCGTTGGGACTTCAAGATGTTTCGTTAAAGATGCTTTCCTTTGTTCGAGAATTAATCCGTTCGGACGTTCGGCTTTTAATTCTGGTAACGTCTCCTGAGATTTCGTTGTAACGATATTAATTAACTTGTATGTTCTCTTTCTCGATTCTGATCGATACGATTACTCATTGGTAATTTACTGGAAAAAAAGGAAAGTTGTATATTCTATGTTTGCTCTTAAGTGTAACAATCGATCGCAGAAGAGTAACATTTACTTTGAATTCGAGTGATATTTGTCTGTTAGATGTTGGAAATCTTCATTGCGAGTCTGACACGTTGCCTTAACGCAAGTTATCGTAATGTAATCCGTATTTAATATAATTTTCTATTTCCGAAGTTATTCGAAGTGTCCGTTCAACGGCAGAGTTCGTTAATTACCATCGTCTGTAAAGAAAAAGTATCTTTCCCGTTCGAAGACATAAATTTCAGCTGAAATATAGTTTAAGTTCAAATTGATCCAAAACGGAACGGACGTTATTTCAAATTTGAGCCGAGAATATAGTTATAAGAGCAATATTTTCCCCGCAGAATATAAGCACACAGCCACCATGCAAAGGTTGCAGCGGCTGTTCCCTTATAAATTCCCATCTCGTCCGTTTTATGCGGCTCGCTCGTTAGCCGGACTTTATTCAAAACGAAATCGTGGTTAATGACCGGCTCGCGGTATCAATTGAACGCGAGCAGCACTGGACAGAAAACGGAAATTAGTAGCTGAAACGGGAACATGCCTATATTCGCCATTAACGCTCCGCCCTGTTTCGAATCCCCCGATATTTTCCGCAGTTCATCGTTTCTTTCTGCATCCTGCCGTTTCTCCGCGATTTTAACCAGATTATCGTGCGCGTTTCTTTTCCTTCGCGGCCGAAGGTATGTCGCTGTAACACGGAACTTCGCCACGAACAAAGTTTTTTTCGGGCCTTCCGTTCCTGCGGACAGATGCGCCGACCGTTTTACTACGCGCATCGAAACGCGGAAATTTCTAGTCAAACCCGTAATTAAACTTCGCAAAAACTAGACTCGTCGGGGAACGCTGCGTTCGGCGAAGAAAGTATCTCGCTCTGGGATGGAAATGCTAACCTCTCGGCCGTGCTGCCCTTTTCGAAAGCGTACATCTGCGTCGTGTCACTGGAACAATGCGGCGAGTATACTCGTCGAACGCAGACTACGCGCAGTAGCTGTAAAATTCAATTGAATTTGCAAGGAAATAATACTAGATCCTCATTGAATCAATAATACACTCGTCATTACAAAAATTGTTATTCTCTCGTGACGAGTGTACTCGTCATCGACAGCTAGAAGCTTAGAAACGTGATCGGGAAATTTTCATTTACAATTGGTCATGAGTCGAACGAAAGAAATGCGACTGTACGAATGTAGACGATGATAATAGGCACATTCATTTACAAATGAACTGAGCAGCGATTCAGTGGATAACCTAACACCACAGAATACTGGAAATCAAGGTTAATACTTCTCTGTCCTCATCGGAACGATTACAAATGACTGCTACTCCATCTAAATATCGAATTTCCTTTAAAATTCCCTCTCGATCTCGTTCGATTCAACAAATCTTCCATTTGCTCTATATTATCATTCACTCTCGATCATTCTCAAATAACCACCTCTCGCTACGAGTCGCTAAGAGAAATTCAAAGAACGTAATTTCCCGAGTTCCATTCTATGAACGATTCCGGTTCAACGATGAAGCTGTTCCGACTTTGTCCATCGGTCTCTGCGATCTCTCCGTTGCCCCCACCCCTCGAGTCGTCGTCGCGCCGTGACTGACCGACGCGTTCGCCGTGAAGAAGGCAACGCAGGGGAGAGAACAGGGCGTCCCGGGTTTTTGCAGGTGCGTGCAGGTGCTAGCCCCATATAATTATCACTAATTCCTATACGAGAGCGAAACCCTGGTCAAGGACTCGGTCTTCTCAGGATGAAACCTAGCCTCTGAGTCATCGGCGAGCCGAACCGACTCTTGCTCTTCTATTTCCGATGTAAAACTGTCTGCGCGGATATTTTGCACCTGCTCCGCTGCTTTTTTACCCCTCACGGCCGCCGTTTAACTGCGCAAGAGAGTTTCGCGGCGGAGGCCGGGGTTGGTTCTCGAGCGAGAAGTCATCCTCATCGATCCTCCATGCAGTGAAAAGCCGGGCTGTTCCACTGAAATCGTTTCCGTGTAAACTTGCGCCTGTCCGTGCATTTTTTCCAGCGATTTTTGCTCCCTTTTTCGACGCATTTTTCACTGTGATCGGCGAGCAGCAGCAGGTGTTCTACAGGAGCAGCCTCATTTTTCTGGATCGGTTCGCGAAAACCAGAACCGACTGGATGTTCACGTTCCGCCGGTTTTATTAGGTTTCGCGCTATCTGAAAACCGTGCTCGCGTTAATTGTACTTTACTGCATTCTTGGATAAGCTTCGGGGACGGAGAATTCTTCGTGATTTTTCATCGTGATACTAGTTGATCGAGGTCGGACGTTTAGCGGGTTTAATTATA